ACGGTGCATAACTTAGATGTAATATTGAGGGGATTACTTTAAATAATCGTGGCATGTATTTTCATAGTAACTTATGTACAGATGTAAATGTTGAAAGCGAAATCGATGTGTGACTTCTTCTTTTTTGGGGGGAGTGAGGAAGTATATAACATGTGTTGGGAGGTTGGTCGTCGTCTATCAATGTGTGTGTAAGGATCGGAAAGCAGCAGTAAGAAGGAAACAAGGTGCTCCGGCAGTCCGGCCGATGGATCCTATTTTGTCTGGAGTCTGTGGACTGGTGAGGCTGACACGTAGGTAGTACTTGGAGTCGCGGTCCGTGGATTAAATGCTCGAGTGATCTTGTGTATCGCCTTGACAGTTGCAGGTCTTGACTCTTGACGACTGTACGTTTGCCTTTGCCTAGCTCGCTCGGTGTGTGGAGATGACCTGACCCGATCCGATGACCTCACCTCACCCCTGAGCTTAGCAGCCTGGGAACGGGAACATGACCCACGTTCCCGTTGCCATGTTCCATGTTTTGGGAACGTCTACGTTCCGAAAGTGCGAATGTTCTCGTTTCCACGTTATAAAATGATACCCTAAGTTCCGTTCCCGTTTTAGGAACGGAGACGGAAATGGGAACATGGCTGCTAAGCCCCTGAGACGTACTGATCGATGACGAGAGTAGTAGTTCAGATCGAGAGTACTCCTAGTTGCTAGAGCTAGCTAGGGAGCGCGCGAGAGCTGGGACTGGCTGCTGGCCTGCCCTGTGCTGGGAAGAAGATGCATGTGTAATGACGACGAACTGGCCGTCCGTTATATGTCCAGAGATCAATGCAAATAAATGGGAATACAATAAAATACATGTGGAGAGAAGAGGATGGATCATACTCCTATATAGTATTTATTTATCATCATCTCATCTCAGTAGTAATAATAAACATATATATGGTGCAGTGTGTACCTGCTATCAATCGGAGGTGAAAGGGACAAATTGCCCAATTTCAACACGGTACGCGTGAACACAAATGGATCGATCCACCACCCATTACACTTATTACACGGTACGGTCCATCTCGATCGCTCGCTCGGCATCATCATCATCGCAACCACGACCATCGACGGCAACACTGCATGCCTGCCTCCGCGTAATTCTCTGCCGCCGATCCAAGTATCTCCAACAGACTTTACTTAAAACTTTTTTTAGAGTTTCAAGCTAGGCTAAATCGCCCCGGTCATTGCATTTGCATTATCACAAGGATCATCATGACACGTCACTAGTGCATGCATGCCCTTAGCTTACATGTGGTCTTGCATTGGCGCCCAATATTAGCATATCATTAATAGTATTATTAGCAATGGGTCGCAACTACACGTGTCTCTAACAAGGTTTTAAATAGCCGGCTAAGCCATTTAGCTATAGCGGCTATAGCCAGCTATAGCGGCAGCTAAAGTCTAACTTGTACATGGAGAAACTTAGCTAAATCCTTCTCAAACAGTTATAGCCGAAGATTTAAAACCTTAGTCTCTAATAACCGTACTCAAAGGATTGTGACTCGTCATTGATCTTATTTACTACCGCGTGGATTAATTAGGTGTACCATGTTCAGGCTAGCTAGCTAGAGTAGTGTGTGATCTATGCCATGCCTCAACCGGTTACACGCCTTGTATTTCGCTGCACTCTAATCTACATAACCACTGCTGCTCGGTCGTCCAGACAAATCGGATCCATCGAAACGCTCTATCTATTCACAAAAACTATTTTCGTACTTGTCCTGTTAATTATTCATATCCACAAAAAATATCTTCCTACGTGCCCCGTTAATTATCCTTTTTTAATTCCGCATCCTCAACACTCGTACGATCACATGTTCCACTTTTCCTACCTCAGCGAGGAGATGGCGTCATCGACCTCTCTTGTTAGTTGTTATGTAGATTTGGATTACATTTTATTTTGTTATCCAACTAACGTTGCAGCATCCAACTATCGGCCTTATATCGAAATGAAACACATGTACACACGGTACCGCCTATGCCTACGCCTGCTCATGAAACACTTGCAACATGAAAGCACTTTCTATAACATACGTCTGAAGCAGATAAAATATTTGGAACATACGCTTGCAACTTATGTGTATAGCCACTACAACATATGCAACATGCAGATAAAAGCACTTGCAATGTATGTCTGAAGTAAATGAAACATTCTGAATAGATACCTGCAACATACGTGTATAGCCATTGCAACATATGCGACATACGGATCTAGTTTTGCAACATCCGTATCATGCACACAAGGACCGCCTTCGCTAGCGGGGACCACCTGCGCCTACTCATGAAACACTTGCAACCAGAAAGCACTTCCTACAAAAATCTAAAGCAGATGAAACATTTGGAACATACACTCCCAACATATGTCCACTGCAACATATGTGTATAGCCACTGCAACATATGCAACAATCAGATAAAACACTTGCAACATAAGTCTGAAGTAGATGAAACATTTTGAATAGACACTTGCAACATACGTGTATAGCCATTGCAACATATGCAACATCCAGATCTACTTTTTTGCAACATCCATATAGACCACTTGCAACATATATCTGGGACATATGAAACACTTGAGATATATGTTTACAACATACGCTTTTGGTGCAACATGGACGGGCGGCGTGGCAAACAAGCGTGGTGGAGGCGGCCCTACGAGACAGCCGCAGCATGCGAGGCGTGCAACGGCCGCGGTGAATCAGCGTGGGCCGAAGCAAGCAACGGCTCGGGCGGGTGGGGCACGCGGAGCGAGAGGCCCAGGCGGGCGGGGCGCGGGGCACGCGGAGCGAGCGGCGCGGGGCGCGCGGAGTGGGCAGGGCACACGGAGCGGTCCATCCAGATGGACGGGTGCCCGCTTCGTAGCATTACCGTTAAAGACAGTGCATGATGAAATTTTGGCACAGTGTTGACTATGGTTAATCGAGCAAAATAAATTATCAAGCCAGCCATACAAATATTTTATATGTGGCTCTAATATATCAAGGCCTATACGAAAATGGTTGCTATTTATATTGACCATGATAAGTTGACTCGCAATATGATCAGGCTCACGTATATTTGTGGTCTATAATTATTTTTGGACCAAATGCATTTTTGTGCACATGCATGCAAGTATAGACGTGGCCATATGTTGCTCTGGCTGGTCATTCAGCACAGCTCTCCATACATGTCAATTATGTCCTGTTCTGGTATACAGCATATCACATATTCGCGTTCTGAACTTCTAACGAGGTCTCCGTACATATGTACACATGCACATATTTATCTTACGTTGCGTTCATAGATTAAGGCCCCGTTTAGATTCCAAAAAAATTTGCGCAGTATCCGTCACATCGAATCTTGCGACATATGTATGGAGTACTAAATGTAGACGAAAAAAAACTAATTGTACAGTTGAGTGAGAAATCGCGAGACGAAACTTTTGAACCTAATTAGTCTATAATTATACACTAATTGCCAAATACAAACGAAAACACTATAGTAGCCAAAATCCAAAAAAATTTGGATCTAAACAGGGCCTAAAATATAATCGAGCCCACTGAGCAGCCGGTGCAGCCTGAAGCAACGGCACGGGCGGGGCGCGCGGAGCAGTCCATCCGAATGCTTAAAACAAATCAACCCGATAGCTTGTGGATTAAAAAAATGCGGGCGCACGGAGCCATCCGTCCGAACGGACGGACGCCCACTTCCTAGCATTGCCGTAAATTTAATGGATCAAATAAAAGAAATTATAGTTGGAAATAAATTGAACGAATTTTTCACCTTAGTCCTTTTTTAGATGTTGTCGAATTCATCTTAATCCACATGTATTGGGGTAGATTGAGACCAATTACATCCAAACAAGACATTAATTTCTTCTAATCCATGTGCACCGGGTTGGACTAGAGTATAGCCAAAGAAGCCCTTAGATAGACACAACAGATGGAGACACGGTGAGTGAGGGGTAAGAACTGATTATTTTCCACCTATCATGCTCGAGGTCCCACATGTCAGCCCATTTCTCAAAGTTTTGCCGAAAGAACTGATTATGTGTAAAGACTACTTTTTGCAGTTAGTCCTTTATGGCATATTAAACCAATGCAAGGACGACGGTGTAAATTGGTGGATTTGTACTGGCTTACACAAATGTGTTTGATTCACAAATCCTTTATCCGGCCCTTAGATCCAACCGATTGACCATATTCTACTTTTTAGAACCAGAATGTATATATCCTTGATTTCTCATTATTACAATTAAGCCAATAAACTGACTATATGTATTCTACATGATTCTAGAACCGACTGTAAGACTGATTATGTGTGATAGTGATGCATGTGGATGCATTGTTATTGTATATATTGTTAGCATGGGGAAGATAGTTACTGAAAAACTGTGACCCCACCAGCTTAAAGATGTATGTATATCTAGGGAGCTAGACGAGAACATGCATGTGGGAAGCTAGGTTATTATCAGGGACGCGTAAGGGGAGCTAGTTAGGACTTGAGACGGACCTCCATAAGCATGACACGACCTTTTAGGCTTTGAGCATGGAGCCACGGACGATGGATGGCGCGACAAGACAAGCCGCTGAAACAACCAGAGGAGCTGTGGAGCCACGATTTTCAGATTCTACGACCAGTTTATCCTCCTCTTGAAAATAAATAATCTCGATCGAATCCAATTAAACTGTTTTGCTAAACATTTTCACAAAGTGATTTAATTATTAGCTGCATCATCAAAGACGTACGCAAGAGGCAGAAGTAATATTTTTGGAATAAAGGAGCCAGAGTCACGTCAGATTAGCTAGCCCTAATAATTGTATGGAATAAGATGTATGCATGTAAGAAGATTTTGTGCAGACACACCGTAGCCAGCCAATGGGATTGGCAGCATGCAGATGAACTAGAACATGAGGCGCCCGACTGATTTGAAAACAAAAGCTTTTATCCTCGCTAGATAGACATGGTTTTATAATTTTAAATAGTAACACTAATATCTAACCATAAACATTGGTTTTATAGTCATTGCCATCATAACGTTGAGCACCTAAAATTAGGCATATCACACTAACAAATACGTAGCAGAAATTACGAAACCAATAACTTCTCCCATTCCAATAGCACAATTACGGTCTCTGTGGCCACCGCAACACGTGATGACTCTGTTCAGCCATCCATTACATAGCCATTCAGTACATGCATGATCATTGCACTCTGCAGCTGCCCTTATAGTTCTAATTGAGCCACACATTAGATAGTCATTCATTATATGGCTACAGAGCATCTTAGTGAAAATAGCTAGAATGCTAATCCAGATGTGCACAGAGGTCATTAGAATAGGTTAGAAAACGTCAGAGACAATAGAATGATAAGCTACACATTTGCAATCTAAAGCCATGAGGTTTCCGAAAAACACAGAACTGGTCATTAAAATGACAAGGTCCCATGATGCTGAATATTTTTAGCAGTCGAACTACCCTGAGTAGAAAAAAAGGTCATCAGGGACACGCATTTGTCGAACATGACAGAGAGCAAAGTACAAAATCAGAGATACATTACTTAAACCAGTTTGTGGAAGCCTTCAGGTATGATGTTTATAGATTGTAACACGGAGTAAAATTTCAATGCATGTTGTAATACTAAACACTGAACTGTTCGATCAAGGCAAGTAAAGAGAAGTGAGGTACTTATAGGCTCTGCAGCACCATATGTGAAAAGCTCCTCAATTGATTCATTGATAGGTGACGCACAAGTCCTAGAATTAATAAGTTGTCATATTACATACACAGAAGCACACCATGCAATACGTAGATGAAACGATTTTAGAAATTTATTGTCGGTGTCGCTAACCTCTTCTTGCGGTACTATGGAGACTGAATTAGTAAGGCAAGCTGCAAAAAATGTCTTACCATAAATGACGGTTTTACCAAGTGTACACCATATGCTCAAGCTCCTGAACGTACCTTATCTTGTGATCCTTCGACACTATTGCTGACTGTCAATGTGCAACAATCCTAAAAAAAACACAAGTCAGATTGTTCAGTTCTAGGAAATAGGGAAAATTACTGCTCAAAGTACATATATTTGAAAAATAATAGTATCATATAATATAAACATTTGTAGCATTTTATAAAACTAATATTAGAAACATTAATTTGTGTTTCGGAGCAAGCAGTTTCACCTCAGTTGATGGACTCTTTTCACATAAATGAAAGAACAAGTCGTTAACTTCATCAGATATCTTGGACTATCTTAACAACTGAATATAAATTAAAGCACGAACATCATCAGACATCTTGAAGACCTTTGCATTAGGCAACACTTTGGTTGAAGGTGGCATATAGTTGCCGATGGAAGGCAGGAAATAACAAAAAGGAAGCCATATCATCAACCAAATCAGATTAATTAACATGTTTGGGGCTATTGGGGACGCACATTCTGCATGTCACCCCCTCCTATATTTGGCGCACATCAGTATTGAGCATCTGCATTCCAAAATAAAGCTTTTCGAAAAGAAGATTGGGCTGTCATTTCTGATTGTAACCGAGTCAGATGCTTCCAGGACTTCACAGTACATGAATTTATGAACTTGAAAGCTCTGAGTGGATTGCAGACAATCAAAGAAAAGAGTAATAAAGACATATAAGGATAGACTGCAATTAATTTATTTTGAACTAATTAGGTATGACATTCCTCAAGAATACATTAGAACATGCGAAAACAACATTAATGGGGTAAGCACTGACTCTGAAAAAACTAACTTGCATGACTATAGAAACTCTTCTAATCATGTTACTATGGTGAAACTCGAGTACAAATGTGCTACATTTTTTTCTCTACCATCCTGAAAATTAAAAACAGGAAGAGGCAACAATTAATTCAAATCATAAGTAGAGCACAAACGTAATTTCCAAAATACGCCAGTTGTGTAAATGTATAGGAAGAAATTCCAAAATAAAGGGCAATGTTTTTTTGCAATATTTATGGCTTATCAATATTTTCATGGTTAATTGCACAACCAATCCTATTGATGCACAATGCTGGCTTCGGTTCTAATATCCATGGCTGGAACCAATTTCAACTCTGGAACAGGTATGGATGACAACAATTCATAAAGGAACATGTATTAGCACTTAGCAGCCTGCACGTTTTGAATGCAAATAACACTTGAATATAGGATTGTATCTTTTGTTTGTCAAACATTGTAATTTTCAGTAAAGTCATATCATATCACAGAAAAAAAAATCATCATGTAAGGAATAAAAAAGAGGAACATACGACGTTTATTAGCCACTGGGCAAAGCATCTGAGGCACATGCAGTTCCTAAACGCTGAAGAAGCGTGGTTGCCATGTTGATCTAAATAATCTGGTTGCAGTCATGAACAGAAAGCTCTTTGAACAAGAAAGAACCGTGTAATCAGTAGACCCGACCAGAAACCAAATGCTCAAAGAAACTGGCCTTCCTGGCTGCCGCTGCCTGCCACCGCCGAGGCCCCGTGAGGCCATCCAGAAGCCTCATCCGAGCGCAAGCCCGTGCCTTCGAGTAGCTCATGGTCAGATCTGAGAGGGAGAGAAAGCTCAACTTCGGTGAACAGATCTCGGAGAGGATGTGGAGATGTTGCTGAGCCGTACCCTTGTGCTCGCATCGCCGCCTTCTCTGTGCATGCAAGAAGCCGAGAACCGCGGCGCCCCGCCCCATCCTGCCTCCGGGCTCTGAGCATGCGAGCACTGCCGCTCGACCACGGCCGCGACCAGCCGCGATGTCGCCATGGTCGAACGCACCTCCCCATAGATCTGGGTGCGCTCCTCTGACACGGCAAGGCGGAGAGGAGAGGAGTGAAGCGATGCTGGCGGCGAGACGGAGATGGGAGATGGCGGCGGCTAGGGTTTTCGGCGCCACCCAAATCGCCCGTGCGCGTGCGGGAGCGAGGCTGTTGGGTCGACTTTGGACTGCGGGTTAGTTCCTAGAAAGTTCGAGGGTTTTTTCACAAAATGTACATAGACAGATGTCGACACAAGAATGAGCCACCAAGGCTCCGAATGCAGTGGATGAAGCAGCGACAAGACTGATACCGACTCATTGTACACGTTACACCTAGAATTTTAGACTTCCGATGAGCTGAGTTTCTCCGTGTTTCAGCATTTAAAATTTAAATCCCTCTCCATCCCCTCCGACCCCGTTTTAGGGTCAAACGAACGTGCCCTTATTGGATTCGATCACCATATTCGCTCATCAACTACTAAGCTAGCTATATATCTACTCGATCCTTCGATTAATCATATTACATGCCCTTATTGGATTCGATCATCATCTCCGTTCATCAACTACTAAGCTAGCTATATATCTACTCGATCCTTCGATTAATCATATTTTTTTGAGAATTATACAGTACAATGCAAACGCTCACAACATGCACTCACACTCACCCCTATGAACACGCACGCACGCAAACTCCTAACCCTATAAGCACCTCCGAAGGACTGAGCCGGCAGATCTCGAGATTCACGAAGATTCACGAAGCCACCACTGGCACCTCACTATCGATAGGGACGTCGCTATCACTGAAAGCATAGCGCCGTTAAATCTTAGAATAAAAATCCAGAAAAATACAAACACCTGTGCCAAGTCAAGTACTTGAACCCGGCTGGATAGGTTACACGCAAAGAACCTAACCAACTGATGATCTTATGCAAGTATATAATTGGATAAGATGCATGCGGTGGCTTAACATCACCCTCTAGGTGGGCTCTAGCAATCGATCCAGTAGCTGTAGCATTGCATTCAGATGAGATGTAACGGTTTCTAAAAAAATGAGATGTAACATTTTTAGAAGAAGTTTTTTTTAAGTAAAAAAACGATTCAAGAGGCGGGAGCGGGCTGAGACACTGCAAAGAGAAGAGAAAAGCGAGTGGGGGCATAGGCTTTAGAACCAGCGGCTCATGTATGATGTACGATGGGCCGCATTACATGGACCTATGCTATGTCAGCTGGGATGGCCCATGAAGCAAAGCAAAGCAAAAAAGATTTGGGCCTCTCAACAAAAAGGAAAAGCAAAAAATATTTGAGGCTTTAGCATTCGTACCCTCGTTTTGAATGAAAATAGTGCTTTTGTTCTTGTTTTTCAAACTTTATGATTTGTATTTTTACCCCTGCGATTTTCGCAGTAAAGAAATAGTTTGCCCCTACTCCGTGAAGTCCAAGTAATTGTGTTAACTTTTGGCCTGCAGGACAAGTATGGCCATGTGATTTTACTCTTGCTCTGTTGGAGATCTTTATGATTTTACCCCCTATTTTAATCTAGAGTAAATTGCACGGCCGGTCTTTAAAGTATTGGGCTGATTTCGTCTGGGTTTTCAAACTATGAAATCGCACTCTTGGCTCCCCAATCTACTTAATTCGGTCCATGTAGGTCCTAACCAGCCCAGGCGGTGTTAAGCAGTCCACGTGGTTGTCCACGTGCGCACGTGAGGCACACGTGACACTCGGCAGGTACTGGCTTTTTAGCCAAAAAGCCCCCGCACAATCTCACGCTCCGGCCCGCCTCTGACCTGCGCCGACGATGACCGAGCTCCCCACCACCACGACAATCGAGCTCTACCCCGAGTTCCAGTTGTCGTGCCTCTCCTCCCCCAATCCGCCCCAGGGCGCCCTCTTCCCCTATGCCGATGGCGATCCGGAGGCCGCTGCCGTGCGCGTGGAGGGCAGACACCTCTCTCTCCGCCGGTAGGCCGAATCGTGCGCCCCCGCCTCCACTGCATGGCCGGTGCCATTGCCATCATCTCTCTTTCCTCCCATTCCAAGCTGCATTCGCCACTGGGCCACCATGCCGAGAGAGGAGATTCGACACCACCCCATCTCCTCACCGCGCCTAGCACCACGCCATCTCCTCGCCTCTGAGCCTCTTCTTCTACGCCGTCGGCCCCCACCTCCTCTCCTTGTCCGCACGTGGCGGGGGTGTCTCCCCCCTCCCTCATCTCGCCCGGTGCCTCTCTAATCACCCATCTAAAAAACAACTAATCTTATAAATGCCAAACCCCCCCTCTCCTCCACACCGCTTCCCTAAACATAAATATAACTAGCCCACACCGCTTCCTCCTCTCATGCTAGATCTGCGTCGCCCTTTCTCTCCACCTCCTACTCCGGCCACCCCCCAAACTTGTACCGCCCATCGGTGCAGGGCATCATCGCCTCGGCGTCGAGGTGAGGTCATGAACTTGCCAATCAGCAGCGTCTTGGGTTTTTGAGCAGGTGAGAGCCAAGCAATGGCGGGCGAGGAGAGCAAACTCGAATGAAGACGGGAAAGGGTGGAATTCGTGGAGGAAAGCCATCATCGCGCCGTTTATGTGAAATTCGTAAATTTTGAAACCAGTCTCTTTATATAGACCATATCAGCTCCGGTGCAACCAACTATAAAGTTATAGTTCTCAGGGCTTCAATTTTTGAAAAAGTTTTTTCATTGGAGTTTATATGCGCTATGAATTATTTTAATGATATAAAATATTTAGTTCACCATGTTTTGACCTAGATGAGACTCAAAATAAGTTTAGGCGGTCGATTTGCATGTTTAGGGACCGGGACGACACAGTAGGCAAGCGGAAACTGGTGGATCGATTCTGTGATACAAGTTTAAGCGGTCACGCGGTTTTTACTGATGAGTACGTACGAGTGCCCGCCGCTTGTCATCAAAACTCGGAGTCTGATACGAGTAGGAGTACCCAATCACCGTCAAACCCCGAGCTCCGACCGAATCTCATACGAAGGCTCAGTATCCGATCCGTCATCGGTCCAAGAAGTCAGGCCACATCACCGTCGGACCGGCACCGTCGCCGCCAAGCCGACTCCAAGCGCATCAGTCCGGCGCGCCGGGCCCACCGATCCCGGAGCACCCACCCGCGCGCCGCGCCATGGGCGCATGGACTTGGTCGGCAACGCGGCGGGGTACGTCACGCGCGCACCGCGAGGCCATTGACTTCGCGGCAAAATCAGGGAGGCTGTGCGGGCAGGCCATGGCGGACGAGTGAACGCCACAGGCGTCGTGACGGAGGCCGGGCTGAAGCACGGCTACCTGCGGCCTGGTTTATGGCACACGGTCCTCCGCGTGTTCTACGGCGGGCGCCAAGCAAAGGAATGGTGGGCGCCGCCATGAGGCGGGTGCAGACGGCGATTCTAACTGCATTAGGGTCCTCTCGCGTCGGCGTCATTGCCATACGCTTTATCAAAGAGGAGATTCAAGCATCTAGCCTTGCAACACACAAAGCTCGTTAGTTGCGCATAATAAGATTAATAAGATGTTACAAGCCTAAACATGCCTCTCAGCTAGTAGTAGTAGTAGGCAATGATGATTTAGAAGACGATTCTCTGTGAGCACTCCTTCGTCTGCTGGAGGAGATCCGGTTGTCGCTCCCCAAAATGGTGGAGGTTGGATGCGACAAGATCCAAGGTGGTGGAAACAATGAAAAAGCGCCCGTATTGTTTCCAGATGTTTCAAATGGTCCTTTTGGGAAAAGGATGAGCTTATATATTGAGCTAGATCGGCCTCGTGGTGGTGGGGAGCTCGGCCATGACGTTTACGGCGGAGTCGAGTCGGGCCTAAACTCGGAAGCGAGCGTGAAGATCGTCGCGGGGTAGCTTTTTGGCTAAAAATCAATCTCCACATGCTTGATCCGCTAATGCCGAGGGTCACGTGTGCCTCACGTCTAGCTTTCGTCAAGCCGCAATGGAGCTGAAGAAGCCGTACACGCCGACGACTTTAACACCGCTGGGTTGTTTATGATCTTCCCGTGTGGTTTAAGTAGATTGAAGAGCAAGGTGCGATTTCATAGTGTGGGGACTCAGACGAAATCAGCTCAATACTTTAAGGACCGGTTGTGCAATTTACTCTCTAATCTGTAATCTGGTACCATCTAAAAAAACAACTAATCTTATCGTCTGCGCGAACCCCGCTCGACCCAAACCCGCGTTAACCCCTCCCCGCCGTCCAGGATCCCCGCGACACCCGTTTCCTAAACATAAATATAACTAGCAGGTCGCGGGCAACCATGGACGCATTGAGGGGGGAAAATCCTTATCGGGTCGGCTACTGTTAATCGTGATCCGTTACTGTCCATCTACAGCGATCTGAGTCTGTGTGCGCGTCGGATGAACAGTGATTCGATGTGATAGGCCTCAAATTTATAGTCTCTTATAAATAAATAGATAGATAATAAACAAACTCAAAAATAACTAAGAGTATCGTCTATCGTCTACCACCCCCGTTAACCCCGCCCACAAACGCCACCAGATTGTTAAAACTACGAGTCTGTTAGGAGTACGTACGAGTGCCCGATCCGCTTGTCATCAAAACTCGGAGTCTGATACGAGTAGGAGTACCCAATCACCGTCAAAACCCCGAGCTCCGACCGAATCTCATACGAAGGCTCAGTATCCGATCCGTCATCGGTCCAAGAAGTCAGGCCACATCACCGTCGGGACCGGCACCGTCGCCGCCAAGCCGGAGATCAAGCGCCTCCAGTCCGGCATCCGGGCGCGCGCGGGCCCACCCGATCCCGGAGCACCCACGCCCGCGCCGCGCCATGGGGCGCATGGACTTGGTCGGCAACGCGGCGGGGTACGTCACGCGGTGCTCCGGCGAGGCCATTGACTTCGCGGCAAAATCGGGGAGGCTGTGCGGGCAGGCCATGGCGGACGAGTGAACGCGCACGGGCGTCGTGACGGAGGGCCGGGCTGAAGCACGGCTACCTGCGGCGTTGGGATGACGAGTTCCTGCTCATGTTCCGGTTCCTTGAGACCTTGACCTGTTGCAGCGCGTGTTCTACGGCGGGAACGCCGGCCGCGAGGCGCTGGTGAAGATGTGCGCCGATGAGTACGTGCAGCGGCGCCGCGCGTCTCTAGCGGTGTTCTGAACTGCTGATTAGTGTTGCCTTTGCTGAATAAAAAAAATACAACCTTTGTCCGGCTGTCATTGTTTTCTGAATGCGTTTTATACGCTTTATCAAAGATATTGGTGATCAGTCAAGCATCTAGCAGCCTTGCAACGAGTTTAAACAAAGCACTTCAATGATGCAGTTGCGCATAATAAGATTAATAAGATGTTACAAGCCTAAACATGCCTCATCAGCTAGTAGTAGTAGTAGGCAATGATGATTTAGAAGACGTCCTCATTCTCTGTGAGCACAACCTTCGTCTGCTGGAGTTCATGTTAGCATTCATGTTGGTCGCTCCCTAAAATGGCACCAGTTCCTATTGGTTCAGATAACCTGAACAAAAATAAAACATGACCTGAGAAGTGTGAAACAATTTTGGAAGAAAAAGCAACATGCAAATTCCCGTTAAATAATTGCTTGACAGAAGCACCACAGTATATAAGAAAACAAATGTACACATATAGATCCTTTTGGGAAAAGGATGAGCATATATATAAATGGCATGTATACTGGAAACATCTAACGGTTGGACAGCACGTACGCAAGTTCCAGTAAAATGCATTCAAATCAATACGTTTTTATAAAACTTAAAGCCAAAAGTGATGGGAGCCTTGCTGTAAGCATATATATTGAATAACCTCGATCTGCTAAAAAATGAAACAAAATGAACATGAGTAGATGTAAATATCATAGGACTGCATGCTGTGAAGCTGTGCACTTGCTCTTTTACTTTAGTTCAGTACTACTGCTACGACTACTAGGTCGGCACGCAGTGTATCGGTGTATGAGAATGAACAGAAGCTTGCAAGCACAATATTAGAATCAGATATGACCAAACTATTGATGCATGCATGAACTAATTGCGTATATAGGCAGATCAGTGATACAAGAGCAGGACAAGTTAGAGCGTATTATTATGCAATTCACCGAATATGCAATTAATTGACTATATATATTCAGAAAGCAAAGTGCCAAAGACGTAGAGCTGGACAAAGTCTATACAAATTCCCACACCAACGCAAGCTTGAGTCTTACAAATGCATGAACTAACTTGGTAGATGGGCCTAAACATTGACATGCCAATATAGGAGGAGCAGATACTGATACTGACGGACCGACGAGTGTTTACAATTGCATTGCATGAAGAAAATCCATCCTCGCTCGCACAAGCTCACCGGCCACAGTCCAAATTCCCAATCACAGTCACTGTTTCATAGCATCTCTAAGAGTACCTAATATTTTCTTCCCTAAAATATGGAATAGCATTTTTGAATAAAAAAATATTAAAAAGAATAAAGAAGGCTATCTCTAAAATTTCTAATAATCCACTCCTAAAATATAGAAGATAATTTTTCATCAGGAATCCTATACTATTTCTAAATTATTTTAACCACTTTTATATATTCTTTCTCTGTTGTACGTTTGCATCAGGAATCATTTCCTACTATTTATTCTTTTCACGCCATTCCTCTATATTGGCCGACAAAGATGCACGCGAAAGAAGATACTCTTATGTGCGACTAGGAAGTGTGTAACTTTACGTGGAACATAGTGGTTTTTTTCAAGTTGTAAAATATTAGAAGAATGTATTAAAAGTTATTGAAGAAGTGTTTTTCTTGTCTTGTTAAAAATCAAAGATTAGAAAGGATGTAAGGAACTCTTGAGACGCTCTTAATGCAGGAGCACCAAATTCCCAAAAGATCTTTGCACGGAAAAGTCAGCCGATCCTGTCGTGTCGGGCTACATCTTCTTATACAGTGTATGTATATTTATTTTTTATATAAAAAATTTGCTGATGCTCAATTCGATCACCACTGATTGATTTGATTGGGTGGCTACAAAAATTAAGTCAAATTGAAATAATAAAATTGAAACGGGCAGGAGCAACACCAAGCAAGCAAGCAACCTGGAGCAGGCGGGCCTACGGACGGTCTACTGTATCTGTCTATGGATGGAATGGCCAATCAGCGTGTTTACTTATTGGTTTGAGTCAGGATTTTCGGTTATAATATAATATTTTTTTTATAATAAATCAGCGGAAAATCAGTGAACGGAGGAGGGAGTCGGAGGTAGACGACGACCACCACGAGTGACAACTGACAAGTCCACAACCACACAACACAACAAACAAATTGAAATATTATTGACAGAAGAAACGAGAAAGCCAAGGCAGCAATCAAACTGAACCTCATCATCACAAATATCTCATCTTCCAGGACAGCACGGCACAGGGAAGGGCGGGGCGTTTAGGCGGCGCGCCGAGGCCGTGGCCGAGCAGAGCTAGCACTAGAGAGGGTGGCCATGGACCCCACCGGCGGCGCCGACACCATCCTCGCCGATCCCCTCCTCCATCCCCTCCCGCAGTCCATCAAGCAGCAGCAGGAGGAGGAGAGCTCGTCCGCTCTCGCCGGCGTCTCCGACTACCTTGGGCGGCCCGTGCAGCGCGGGAGCTCCGGGGGATGGAGATCCGCGCTCTTCGTCGTGGGTACGTACCGTTCCAACAATCCCCAATCGAATCGGGCAATCCTCCAATAATAATCCAATCTAATCCCCCGCCCAATGATCTAATCCGGCACCGGCACCGGCACCGGCACAGGCGTTGAGATCGCCGGGAGCTTCGCCTACTTCGGCATCTCGGCGAACCTGATCACGTACCTGACGGGCCCGCTGGGGCAGTCCAACGCCTCCGCCGCCGCCTCCGTCAACGCCTGGTCGGGCACGGCCTGCCTCATGCCCCTGCTCGGCGCCTTCCTCGCCGACGCCTACCTGGGCCGATACCGATCCGTCATCATCGCCTGCACCCTCTACGTCCTGGTAATTAATCTCGGGTCTTGTTGCCTGCCTGCCCGTTGTTTTTTGTTTTGTTTTGTTTTGTTTTGTTTCTACTATACTCCTATACTACTGCCCCCAACCCAATTAAGCAATGATGATCGTGCATCCGATCCATGAATCAGCAGCCAACTCTTTCTGCTCTGCTTGGTATCTCTGTCTTCTTCTTCTTCTTCTCTTTCGGAGATAGAGATAGCTAAGCACGCAACGCAACGCACGTGCTTGGTATCTTTGTTTTTTCCTTTAAATCTGGGTTTTTTTTTTATCAAGAAAGGTCATCAGTATTATCCACCGTCTATCTACTTCTTCATCTTATCAAGCAATCATCATCTTATCAAGCAATCATCAAAAAAATAGAGAGAGAAAGAAAGGGTATATGGTCCGTTCACGTACCCTTAAATCTGACTTATTTCATTTTTTTTTCATTCGAAACAGGGAGTTTATCTCTCACAATTCATTTAGATTTCTCTCGATTCCTCCAAACGAACAGGTACTGTAAACAAAGAAAGGGGCTCAGTCAATATCAAGCCGAACGGGGCATTTTCCTTTTTCTCTGGTCCTTTCACAAGAAAAGGTCATCAGTAGTATTGTCCACCGTCTATCTTTTTCTTCATCTCATCAATCAATTTTTTTATTATTAAAAAATAAAGAGAAGGAAAATCGCCCTGCCAGGCCAGGCTGCCGCCACAACCACAACAGTCGCTGACTTGTACTGCTAGCGTAGCGTATCTGCGCGTAATATGCTGCTAAGAACAGAGCACTTATTTTATTACCACAGAACAAGTACTACTACTGCGTGTCCACATGCTACGGATTGCAACTTTTTGAGTAAATAAATAAATCTCTACATGTTCCAGTCCACGATGGTCTGTGTGGGTTGCCGCCGTCGTTGTTGCCACGTTTGTTTTCCTGCCATCCTCATCCATCCACCAAACCACATTGACCAGTTGCTTGCGATGCAAATTGCAAATGGACTGCCTGCCTGCCTTGCCTCTTCGACGTCTCTCTATTGGTCGGTCCTGTGTGTCTAGTCTGCCCTGCTGCCTCCTGTTACATACAATAGACTGCTACTTCTAGTGGAGTGGATAACCGGGACCAAAGGAAGGAGTTGAGTTGAGCAGGCGCCAGGGAGGAATCGAATCATGCTCCCAGGCCTGGTTTAGATCGTAAGTTTTTTCACACTTTCTTCATCACATTAAATCTTTAGACGTGTAGATAAAAAAATAACTAATTACATAGTTTGATTGTAAATTACGAGACAAATTTTTTGAACCTAATTAGATCATAATTAAACAATAATTAAAACGATATAAGCGAAAGTCTTTGGCGACGCCAAATCGGACATAAACTAATTCAAAGGAAGGAGTTGAGTTGAGCCAGGCGCCAGGGAGGAATCGAATCATGCTCCCAGTCCCACCAGTCCCAGAACGAGCCAGCCAGGACATTTCTTCATCAAACTCGGCCACCTCATCAGTGTTCATTCATTCGTCACTACCTTGTCCTTGTCTGGGTTGGGCAATAATAATATCCTTGTCTGGAGATAATAACACTGATTATTACCGTGCGTGCGTGCATGCATATACTGAGTACTGTATATGTGCATAATAATAGCACTAATAATAAGAGTAATCTTTTTTTTTGCGAAAGAATAATAAGAGTAATCGATCGTTAATGGTGGCAGGGGTATGGCATGCTGACGCTGTCGGCGACGGTGCCGGCGCTGCGGCCGTCGCACATGCCCTGCAGGGAGGATGGCGATTCCTTCTCTTCGTCCGTCTGGGAAGTCTCGTCGTCGGCATACTCATGCCAGCCCGGGTGGCCGCAGGTGGCCTTCTTCTACGTGTCCCTCTACCTGATCGCCATCGCGCAGGGCGCCGACAAGCCGTGCGGGCTGGCGTTCGCGGCGGACCAGTTCGACGCGGAGCACCAGGGGGAGCGCGCCTCCCGCGGCTCCCTCTTCAACTGGTGGTTCTTCTGCATGGCCATCGGCATCTCCGTGTCCGTCTCCGTGGTGGGCTACATCCAGGAGTACGTCGGGTGGGGGCTCGGCTTCGGCGTCCCCTGCGCCATCGTGCTCTGCGCCTTCCTCGTCTTCCTGCTGGGCACCCCGACGTACCGCCTCTACGCGCCCACGCCGGAAGCCAAGTCCCCGTTCCGCCGCCTCGCACGCGGCCTGGCCGCCGTCGTGGCCGGCAAAGCCAAAGCAGGAGGCCTCCTTGTCTCCTCGCAGCCCCAGGCTGACTCTGAGCAAGAAGAGGCAGACGCGCGGTGCGTGCTGCGGCTGCTTCCCATCTGGGCGTCGAGCCTGGCGTACGGCGTGGTGTACGCGCAGATCATGACGCTCTTCAACAAGCAGGGGCGCACCCTGGACCGGCGCATCGGACAGAAGGGCCTTGAGCTGCCTCCGGCGGTGCTGCAGACGCTGGGCCCCGCGAGCATCCTGCTGTTCGTGCCGGTGTACGACCGCGCGGTGGTGCCGGCGCTGCGGTGGGCGACGGGCAACCCGTCGGGGCTGAGCATGCTGCAGCGCGTGGGCGCGGGCATGGCGACGTCGCTGGCGGGCGTGGCGGTAGCGGCGCTGGTGGAGGCGCGGCGGCTGGCGACGGCGCGGGAGCACGGGCTGGTGGACGACCCGGCGGCGACGGTGCCCATGAGCTGGGCGTGGATCGTGCCGCAGTACGCCATGATGGGGGTGGCGGACGTGCTGGCCGTGGTGGGCCTGCAGGAGCTCTTCTACGACCAGATGCCCGACGGGCTCCGCAGCCTGGGGCTGGCGCTCTACCTCAGCGTCATGGGCATCGGCGGATTCATCAGCAGCCTGCTCATCTCCGTCATCGACGGCGTCACCGGCAGCGGCGGCGGGGACAGCTGGTTCGCCGACAACCTCAACCGCGCGCACCTCGACTACTTCTACTGGCTGCTGGCGGGGCTCAGCGCCGTGGAGCTCGCGCTCTTCCTCTTCTTCGCGCGCTCCTACGTCTACAAGCACAAGTCTGGCGGCAGCAGCAGCAGCAGTAGGCGCCTCTCCTGCTCATCCACCTCCACGCTTGGGAAAGGGAAATACTCCTGCTAGCACTAGTAGATAGATTCAAGTACAGTAACAGTAAAGATGAATGAAGAACAGATGCAGCCCTTTTTCTGTTGTTGTTTAGGATATCTCCAACAGAGTATCCATAGTACTTGTAAAACAAAAGCAAACTCAGTTGTGGGAGCAAAAATGGACCCTAGTCAAATTCAAATTCAAATTCACGTTTGGAAGCAAAAGCAAGAGATCTTTTTGGTATGGTGGATGTGATGACTGATTATTCCAGTGTATGTATGGGTTGGATTGTTTTTCTAGGCTAGGTTAATGGATGAATGATTGGTGTCAATTTAGTGGATTGAACTGAATTGAATTCCATCAGGTTGTGTCCGATCCAACCAGATGGTTTTTTTTGTGTGTCTAAACAACCAGATGGCTAATAAACAAAGACAGGAAGCAAAGCAACAAATCAGCGATGGGCCCATGCAAATTTCATGTGCCATCTCATCGATTAGATGAGGTGAGATGGCTTGGCAGGGCAAGGCAGCTTCTTGCTTTGCTGCGGCTGCGGGCGGCCAAAGGTGTTCTGGTTTGGCATCAAAATTTTATCCGCCCCGGGAAACCTTTATACTCTCGTCCATCCATCGCTACTGCTACCTCGACGTATGCCCCGTTCGCTTCTCTTATCCAATCCATCTTTTCAGCTTGTTTTTTAAATTGAAATAGTATTTTTCTCTCACAGTAAATTAGTCGGAATAATATTTTAACTTGTTTTTTCAGCGAAGCGAACGAGGCCATAATATTTTGGATTAATATTTTAGATAGATGTTAACAAGTGATCCTTGATGTTAGCACTCGTAGATCTGTAGATTGATGTTAACGACACACCCTTCAACTGAACTGAACCTCAGAGCATATCCGGACGGACACTTTGCAACCATGGGGAAAAAAAGATTTTTTTTTTGGGTGATGACAATGCAGCTCAACAGAACGGAACGGATATCCATCCTCGCCCTCGCCAAGCCGAGTCGCCGCTTGCCCCTCAACAACTCTTTCCTCCCCTGGCCCCCGCTTTGCCTATCCTGTCTTGCCCAGTTGCCCCTGTCAGAATCAGTCCAGGTTCAGGTCGGCAGTGGGCAGTGGTTCAGGTCCAGGTTCAGGTCGAGGCCTCCTCGACGACGAATCGCGCTGCGTCCCCTCCTCCCGCCTGGTTCATCCACCACCATAGCCCCCCTCGTCACATGGAAGCCGACGTCCCCATTGCCGCTGCTACCCCCAGGTCCGCATCCACACCAATCCCACCTCTCCCGCTCCCTCTCTTCCTCCTCTCCGCCGTCACCTCCCTGCTCAAAATCTGTCAAAGATCCGTTCTTTCCTTGCAGCTACTACTAGTTGTCCTTCAGTAGGAGTACTGTCTGTGACTATCTAGGTCCTCTTTTTTTTTTAACTAACAAACAGTGCTCGATTGATAGAGAAAGAAGAGTAGGATGATCCTGTCATGATTGGGCACCGCCGCCTCTGCTCGTCATCATCTAGCGATGTGTTGCTATTTAACCAGATCCTTGTTCAGTCCTAACATTGGGACATTCTTGGCGATTAGAGATTTTCTAGCTCATGACCATACCATGTGAATTGCTTCTTTCGTCATAATTCAATTTCCTAGGGTCTTGCCTCAAAAAAAAAATCAATTTCCTAGGGTCTAGGGAAGACCATTGAGCGGATGTGTGCTTGTCTTGTTTCATAACCACAAGCCGGGGAAGCTTCTCTCTGGAACTTACTTTTGGAAGATTGGCTCTTAGGGCTTTCCCGAGTTGAATCGGACTCCACGCGTGTTATGTCTTCCTTGAAAAATCATGAGCCGGATAGGTCCGAGATAGGCCATATTATAGAGGAGGCGAGAGGCTTGACTCGGTTGATGAATGACTGGAAGTGTTCCCATGTAAAGAGAGAGTGCAATCAAGTAGCAAATGCTTTAGCTTTGTTAGCTAGACGATGTAAACACTCTGCGGCCTGGCTTGGACAAATGCCTGTGTGTGCTCTGTCCTTCCATCATGGCGATTGTAATTTGCAATGCCTAGCTAATAAAGTTTCTCTCTTTGCTCGCAAAAAAAAAAGGAAGATTGGTTCTTTGCCATGCCAATTGTGGACATTAAAACAGAATCAATAGTTTTAGTTCCTTCTACTAAATCATAAATGTTAGACATCTCCAGCTTCTATTCACATTTCCTTCCTGTTTTCACATACTGTTAAGGAATAAAGCTCCAAACGGATCACAGCAATGTCGGTTTCAGTTGCTACGAATGGTGCCTGATTTGTTGCTTTGTGATCTGCAGGTACCGAGCAGGCCTAAGCCAATAGCTGCACCTGGAGACACAGATTTGGAGTATTGAGCTGGTTCTCCGTTTTGTCGGTTCTGTGCTTCTACTTCATAGAAAAGAGCTGCATTTTCTTCCAGTGCTTTGGATACTGGCCAGATGAAGAGTAGATTTCTGATTCTTTGTCTGATGGTCTGTCTTATTATGGCTCGGATGGGAGCTGCCAATGTCGTGCTAATGGGGAATAATCTGACCGTGTCCTTCGATGACATTGAGGCGAGCTTTTGTAAGTCCTGCACTCCTTACAATCATTTAATTTTGTCAGATCACCAACTGCTACCATCCGATGCCACTTGATCTAAAACATTTTGTTTGCATGACTTGCATATGTGATCAATTTAGGTGTTATGTTTGGTTTATTATTCGTTACACTATATACCTGCTGATTTATGGTGATGTGTGAGTCCATTGCGCTGCCTACTATCATGCTCTCATGGCTAATTTATATCAGTTCTCTGACTAACATTAAGCTTGGGTTTATGCTATGATGATTGTGTATGCTTCATTTGTCTCTTAGGCTCTCGCTTATTCCTTTTCACTTTCATGATTTTTATTACTGAAGGATTTAAACATGCCTTTTCGATTGGATTGCAGCTCCAGGAGTGAAAGGGTCTGGAGTCAGTGGAGTAGTTTATGCTTCTGAACCTTTGAATGCCTGCAGCCCATTAACAATCAAAGCAGTCAATGGCCCTCCATCTCCCTTTGCGTTAATTATAAGAGGCGGGTGCGCATTTGATGAGAAAGTAAAAAATGCACAGGATGCTGGATTCAAAGCTGCAATCGTCTATGACAATGAAAATAGTGGGGTCCTGGTTTCAAGTAATTTACCTTGTCACTCGCTCTTGCTCCTTATCCATTTCTTTTTCTTATTGCCACTTGGTATGATGTCCTTTATCTATAGCATTTTGAAGTCGATGCCTATCACATCTCCATGTTTACCTGTAGCTATGCACTAATTAGAGACAAGATTGGTGCACAAGCAAATGCTCTCTGCAAAATGGGTCGGACATTGATATTTATGCTGATAATGCTCAAACAATACAACAAAAATTAACTGATAACTGGATTCAATTTCATTCCACTAAATTCTATTGGCAATTGATCTTGTATTACCTTCTCTATCTAACTAGATAAAAATGTTACAGTGGCTGGAAGCTCAAGTGGCATTCATATATATGCTGTGTTCGTTTCAAAGGCCTCGGGAGAGGTGTTGAAGAAATTTTCAGGCCATGCGGATGTAGAGGCGTGGATACTACCTACATTCGAAAACTCGGCCTGGTCGATCATGGCAATCTCACTCATATCGCTAATTGCCATGTCTGCTGTACTAGCTACGTGTTTCTTTGTGAGAAGGCATCGAATAAGGAGGGATCACCCTAGAATCCCAGAAGATCGAGAATTCCATGGAATGAGCAGTCATTTAGTTAAGGCTATTCCAAGTCTTGTTTTTACAAAAGTGCAAGAAGATAACTGCACATCATCAATGTGTGCCATTTGCTTGGAAGACTACAATGTCGGAGAAAAGCTAAGAGTACTACCTTGCCGTCATAGTATGTTTGCTCCACTTCTAACACCCTGCTTTTTTTGGCATACATGCTACCACAGTAGCATGATTGTTTAGAACTCTACCTCGTCAAATAGATCTGCTGTACTGTATCTTTCAGTGTTTGGGTTTGGGTGCAAGATCTTTATGAAACCCAACAAGAACTAGACAAACCAAAACAGAAAGCTAAAATGTAACAAAAGTATATATAGCAAATTCATTTAGACGCCTTAATCTTTTTTTTGACAATATAGACGCCTTAATCTTACTGGTGTCTGGTGTGGGAGCGCGACACATCCGGGTTATAATCATTAGGTATAGAGAACATTTCAGATTTTACTTATTTATTACTGAATGGAAGGCAAGTGTTTACTTGTAGTAGTTGTTTTTTTAATCCTTAGGCATCGAGAGTACTGCATATTTAATTGATGAGGGGAAAGACAAGTCAGTGCACTGAATGAAGCGTACCCTTGTATAAAATCAGCAATGCAAAGAGTGAGATGTGTAAAGTAGCAAACCGATAACTTCTGTCTATTGCCTTGCAGAGTTCCATGCAGCTTGTGTGGACTTGTGGCTGACTTCTTGGAGAACATTCTGTCCTATATGCAAGAGAGATGCAAGGAGTGGAGCATCAGAACTTCCTGCCACAGAGGCTACCCCTTTACTTTCTTCTGCTGCTCGGTTACCTTCTCGGCCATCTTCATTCCGGTCGAGTGTGGCAGCATCCCCTCCAAGGCCAATAAGCCGGCATCCTTCATCGCACTCGGTTTCTCGTGCTTACTCTGTTTCTAGTACCCCCAATTCTCCCAACCCCTTTAGATCTCACATAAGCTCACCTGGCATCCGTGCAAGCAGAAGCATCGCAGACCTTCCAAATATGTCATCTCCCCATCCTCGCATCTCACATTTGTCGTTGTCGACGCACTCCCTGGTTGGCAGCCACTTGTCTCCACCAGTCAGTATAAGGTATCCGTCGCCCCATGTGGCCCATTCAGGGTATGGATCACCCAGTCCACATGTGAGTTCATCCTACATCTCCAATCCTGGGTATGGTTCTTCAAGCTACTGCTATCTGGGAGGCTCCAGCCAGCATGGGACGTACCTAAGGCGAAGCGGAGAATCGGGGCCAAGCCTGTGTACCATGGTCCCTCGATCGCCGCAGCAGTCGCAGTGGGAGGCGAATGTAGCGGCAGGTGCATCATCAGCAAAGTCCCTGCGGCAGTCCTACCTGAGACACTGTGACGATTCAGATGCCAGTTTGTCTGACATGACGTCAGCCCAGTCGTTGCCGGGGTGCTGAGGGGAGGGGTCTGGCTCCGGATGTGTGTGTACACTACAAAAGATGTGGCACGATTTGATTTGTGCATACAGTGAGGAGTGTGACATAACATTACATTGGTTGTGGAGAGAAACATGCATAGCAATAGAACATAGCACATAGGTTTTGTTCTTGTTTCTGAGAGGGGTACTACTATGTTTTTTTGTGCTTGCGTTGCGTGCATATATATGACAAGTAACATGAGGGAATAATATATTTGTTTGTTCATATGGAATGGAAGGTTGTAGGGTGAATTAGTTTGGTTTGTTTGATTTGTTCGGGCGATGGGCAGGCTGCCGCCCTTGACTTGTGAGATGGCTGATGCCAATGCAAATGCATGCAAGAAGAAAGGGGGTGAATGGGGGGAGGTGAACTCATCATTGCTGATCGATCATGTTCTTGAGCAAGCCTGTTTTGGCCTTTTGGGCTTTTGGCAAAAGAGAGCCTGCTTTCTTTTTCCCTCTTTGTTGGTAGGGTACTACCTCTGCTTGTTATAGTAGGGCCTGTTTAGTTTCTCCTACACAAATTTTTTTTTTGCAGATGTCTATCACATGAATCTTGCATACTGCACGTCGAAAGTCTTAAATATAGTGAAAAAAAAAACTAATTGCACAGTTTGGGTGAAAATCGTTAGAGAAACTTTCGAACCTAATTAGTCCATAATTAGACACTAATTCTTAAATACTGACGAAAGTCTTCCAGGTTCTTTTTTTGGTCCCTCAGAGAGGTCTTCTTTTGATCCCTCTTGTCTCTTTTGGCTTTTTCTCTCATCTCGTTGCACCGCACCGCAGCAGTGGAAAAGGCGAAAAAGGTGAGGAGGCATCGCCGCACAGGCCCGTGCGTGCGTGCGTGTGCTCTCATTCTCATCATCCCAATTCGGCCTTTCAATGCCATGCTATGCGCGCCGGCCGAAGGAATCAAGGCTAAAGAAGGCTTGTTTGCTTCTTTCCAAACATGCCACTATGCTAGGATTCAAGTTCATACCACCACTCTATACTGGAGTATCCGGCAGCTCAAAGAACCACTCTGATGTTGTTCACCGTCAAAATGAAGTTGTTCATCATTGTTATCTGTAGTACGGAGTACTCCTATGTCATAAAGAACATCAGTTAATTCAGTGTCACAGAACATCAGTTACCTACCTTATCAGAACATTATTAGCAGCATCAAATCCAATCATATCATGGCGTGTCAATGCCTGGGATCCTTGTGCATGCAGATGCAGCATGCAGAAGAGAGAGCCTGTCCTGTTCGTCTGCATGTCTATAATTAACCATATCCATACCATCCCTTCAGATAGACACACTGTTCACTGATTTATTGTGAGTGAAAAATATCGTAGCACCGGCTCTTTTCATACTTACATTGCATTCAAAGCAGAGTGGTTAGGTTGGCTGAGTTGCTGCCGCGCCATCCATCGGACAGGAGAATCAGCTTTTCGCAGGGCTCATTGCATTCAAAGCAGAGTGGTTAGGTTGGCTGAGCCGCGCCATCCATCGGACAGGAGAATCAGCGAATCAGGAATCCCAAGTCACAGTCAGTCAGTCACCACCAGTTTTTCTCTCTCATTGATCTCACCTCACCCCACGGACGGGATGAACCATCGTGATGGGTTGCACGAGTGGTACTCTCTCTGTCCCTCTCTGTCCAAAAAAATATATATAACTACAGATTACGGTGCCAGCAAAAATATATTAATGTTTGACTAAATTTTCAGTAAATATTATTCACTTTTACTGTTCTAAAATAATTTGTTATAAAATACATTTCATAATTAATCTAATGATAGTGTTTTGAACATCATAAATATTAATATTTTTTATCTATAATTGATCGAATTTAATATACTAAATCATCACACTGCGCTAAAATTGATACGTTGCTGCTGTTGTGTCGCTTGCTCGATCGCCTCCAGCACTTCTACTGCATCTACTGACTGACGCTGATGCCAATACCGATCCATATACTGTGCCTACTGATGCTACTGTGGTACTCCCTCTCTTCCGACGTTTTAGCTTTTTTATATACATAAATATACACTATCTCTCTCTATAGTAAAAACAATGTATCTAGAAAAACTAAAACATTTTATAATTTAAAACGGACTCATTACTGTGGTTGTTGCACTGCTGCTCCCAACTATACTACTCACTCGGTTCCAAAAACAAACTCTCTTTCCACGAGTCAAAACAATCATAAGTTAGAGCACAATATACGTACAAACTGCTAATATTTCTAATATGTAATAATCACTTACTAGATTACCATGAAATATATTTTGTAGCAAATCTATTCAAAAACATAAATACTGACATTATTATTTTTTAAATCCAATTAAAATCTAATATTGTTTAACTCATAAGGAAACGATATTTCTATTCTTTTGGAACAAAGATGGTACTTTGAGAAGGCTGGTCTAGGCCTATCCCGACGGTACACACGTACACAGCTCTGGGTGTAGTAGTACTTTGAGAAGCACCGATGATACACATGTGTGCACCTGACAAATGTAACTGATTCTTAATCATTCAGACGTCAGTTTGATCAAACTGAAGAGGAGACAACGGTGGTGTTTAGACACATGGTGCAAAGTTTTGGAATATCATATAAGATGTTTGTTGTGTGGGATGTTCGGATGCTAATAAAAAACAAATTACATAATCCATCAATAAATCACGAGACGAATTTATTAAGGCTAATTAAGCCATCATTAGCGCATGTGTTACTGTAGCACTTTATTATCAAATCATGGACTAATTAGACTTAAAAGATTCGTCTCGCAAAGTAATTATAATCTGTATAATTAGTTATTTTTTAGTCTATATTTAATACTCTATATATGTGTTAAACATTTGATGAGATAGGTGTGAAATTTTGACAGAGAAACAGACAAGGCCTACCTACATGAGTACTGTGCCGCAATCTGACAAAGCTAATGATCGCTACTGCAATGCACTACTAATCGCAGCAACTGCCTGCCTGAAACAAATTAAATGCAGTCGATAACGTGATCTTTACATCGCATACATGACTGCCGCACTATAAAAAAAACTTTACTGGAGACCGCCGTTTTCGGTTTTCCGCGACGAGCAAAGTCGTCCGCCGTGGCCTGGAGGCCACGGTAAATCATGGCTTAACCGCGGCGGGCCGTCTTGCTCGCCGCGGTAAATATACTTTTACCACAGCGGGCACGTTACACCGACCGCCTCGGTTAATCGTTTGGAAAAAAAAACCCCAAAGCCCACCGGCGAGCTCATTGACTGAGCCCACCGGCGAGCCCAATCCCAAACCGAAACCCTAGCGCCGTCGCCGTCGTCCACGGATCCATTCTGACCGCCTCTCTGCGGCCCATTGCGAAGATGAGGCGAGAAGGAGGAGGGCGCCGAGCGGCCAGCGCGTCGCCGCGTCGTCGCCACCACCGCAGCTCCGACGTCCGTGCCGGCTCTAGATCTGGGAAAGGGGAGAGGGCACAGTGAGGGAGACGAAGAGAGAAGAGCGAGGGAGACGAAGAGAGACATGTACTTGCATTGGCAGCGCCACCGTCGCGGCATTCATCGGATCCGGCCGGGATCCGTCGGATCCAGCCGCCCTCCTATAGGATCCGGCAGCCCTCCACCTAGAACCGCCCGCCGCCGTCGTCAGGGAGGGATGGGGAGACCGCCTCCCACCAGATCCGGCCAGGGAGGAAGAAGGGGGCCAGATCCGCACGAGGAGAGAGAGAGAGACTAGGCGCGCCCGCCGGTGGATGTCAGCCCACCCTGAGGAAGGGAGCCAGTCCCAGCAGCAGCAGCCCAGCCCACACCCCCATGTCCCCAGCCTTGCACGGTGGATGTCGCGTCGGGAGAGGAGTGGAGAGGTGGTGACGACAGAGTGGAGAGGAGACTGCCTCGGTCTCGCGCGGAGTGGGAAGTGGGGAGGTCGCCTCGCCTCGGACTCAGTCGCGCGGAACGGAGAGGAGGTCGGGCCGACCGGTGGAGGAAGAGAGAGATAGAAGAGTGGGGTAGAAAACCCTAACTCCTCGTATATATAGTTCAAGGTTAAAATCAGGCCTTGCTGGGGATTTTGGGCTTGGGCCTTTTCTAAGGCGGGCCATATAGGATGCCCGCCACGGTAAATCGATTTACCATAGCGGGCACCTTAAGACGCCCGCCTCATGAAATAGGCTATTTTACGAGGCGGACGCACGGTAAATCAATTTATTGTGGCGGGCAAAAGTGCCCGCCTCAGAAAATAAAAAACGCTCGCCTCCGTAAATCGACAGGCATTAACCGTGGCGGGCAAAAATATGCCCGCCACGGAGGCCACCCGGGCGACGTCGCGCAAATTCGATCATGTAGTAGTACCATGCCCGTACTCATAAGATCAAGGTCCGAGACAGTAAGGTTGCGTTTGGTTGGAGAAGGAAGTTGGATGAGATATGATGATCTATGAATATTAGGATAAAGATATCCAATATGTATGTTTTGTTGGATAAGTGAACGAACCATTTTTGTTTGGTTGGATGGATGAAAGTGGATGGGACGAGAATAGTTAACTAAATATATATATTATTTAAAAATAATAACTAATTAGACACTAATAATATGCACTAATACTAATTTTGTCATGATAATCACTAATTTAAAATAAAATATATTAATTAGCACCACTAATACCCTAATTAGCACATGAAACATGCACTAATCAACGTATTAGCACTTATGAAAACTAATCCTACCATCATAATTACTAAGTAATAATATAACATACTAATATTCCTTAATTTATTTACTAATGACAAATATTAGAAGACATGGATAAGTTGGTCCGCGAGATTTTTACGAACCAGGAAATCAGCATCTTCATGATATATTCTCTTTTCAATCCAATTCAATCCTTCGACCAAACACTACACATCTAGATGGTCCCATCTCATCCATGCATATCCAACCAACCAAACACACCATAAGTGAATGGATTTGGATCCATCTTATTTTTACTAT